TCTTCTTTCGGCTACACCATTTTGTTGTGGTGTACGTGCGGCAGATAATTGATGTAGAATTCCTTGAGAATTGCAATAAGTTTGGATTACTTGATTCACGAACTCAGTTCCACGATCAGTTCGGATTTTTGCAATCTTCAAGTCTTTCTCATTTTGTAGCAGGTTAAGTAGTTCTGGCAACTTTTGCTCCACTTCATTTTTCTTTTTGAGAAATATTGTCCATGTGTACCTGGAAAAATCATCAACAACAACTAGTGTATATTTCTTACCACTTAGACTTACAGGGTCTACTGGACCGAATAGATCCATGTGTAGTAGACTTAGCAGTCTTGTTGAAGATTCTTGAGCTTTGGATTTGAATGATGACTTGATCTGCTTTCCTCTTTGGCAAACATCACATATTTGATCTTTCTTGTAAACAATATCGGGTAGACCTTCAACGAGTTTGTTTCTTGCTAGCTTGTTGATGGTCTTGAAGTATAGATGATTCAACTTTCTGTGTCATTCCCAACTTGTTGCGTGTGCGTTGTTTGCTAGTAGACACACTGAATCTTTTGTCGTGTTCCAATCCACCACATACATATTTTTCCTTCTTATTCCTTCGAGCACAACTTCTCCCGAGGAATTATCCTTCACTTGATATTTGTCTTTAAAGAATTCTACTAGTTATCCTTTGTCACAAAATTGACTTGTACTTAACAAGTTGAATTTTAGACCTTCAACAAAGGATACATCTTCAATTCTTAAACCATTGCGAAATATTGTACCAATTCCTTTGATTATGCCGTATCGTTCATTTCCTCCGAATACGACTTTTGGTCCTTCGATATTTTTAAGATTCACAAGGCTAGATTTATGTCTAGAACATCCACTATCGAAGTACCAAATTTCCTGCAAATAAATTACACATTTTTAGGTACCCAACTTGATTTGGGTCCTTGGGTGTTAGTCATTTTTTGTACCCAAATCCACCTTGTACTCACTGATCTAAGTCTAGGTGATTGGTAACCATTAACACATTATAATCATATTTAATTTTTGAAAACATTTTTTATGCCGGTTTTTGAAAATTGACTCGATTTTTTGGCACTTGGGAAGAAGATTGTTTGAGCCTATGATAGGCATTGAATCTGAACTTAGTCCATGGTTTAATATCATCAAACCAATCTTGTTTAGAGGGATAAAGTCTCCCTACCCCAATTCTCGGATTTCTTCCCATTTTCCTATGAGGGCTTTGTGCACTTGACTCATTGGTGTGTTTCCATTTAGGAACAAACTTTTGCCTTTTTGTATACTGCTTAGGCGAAATATTGTTTCTTTGAGGCTTCGGCCTAATATCATTATTTTTTACATTAGTGTGATAACCAACTCCTTGTCTCATTGTGCTTTCTTGACCTTTTACAAATTTTACTACTTGGACTTTATTATTTAAAGTAGTAGTAGAATTGGTCAATTTCTCGTAGGCTTGAGAACACGATGGATCATAACCAAGTCTGATTTTATCACTTGAGGGTTTTTGCATATTTACCATTTTGTCTATTATTTTGGATGAATGTGTAAATGTTGCTATAACCTCTCTAAGGTTGTGTTCTCTCACTTCCCTTGATTTACACTCTTCCTGAAGACAAATAATTTTATCTTTCAAGTCTTTCACTTCAAGTAGAGCATTTTGCAATTTTTCATTTAATTGATCTTTTTCAAGAATCAAAAGATAATTGCGCTCTTAGAGTTGAGAATGAGTGTCCATTACGTTTTGACATTCTTCCATTAAGTGAAAGAAGAACTCTCTAGAAAATGAAGAATTTACAGAATCGTAAGAATTAGATGTTACCTCATTTTCCTCATTTTCATTTGCCATAAGACACGTGTCCTCGTAGGGTGTGTTGTTAGAAATACTCATGCAAAAAATTGCATTATCATCCTTTGAGGTGTCACTTTCATCACTTGAAGATTCTTCTGACTCACTTGTCTCAAGTGGGTCACTAATAAGTGTTTTTCTTCTCTCTTTTGTGAATCTTTTATCTTTGGTCTTGAATTCTTCCTGTTGAGAGTTAGAGGTATTTGTGTATTGATTTTTACTTACCTTGGGGTGTGGACAACTTGCTGCAAAGTGTCCAGGCTTTCTACAATTGTAACACAAATTTAAATCTTCCTCAACCATTTCTTTCTTCGAATTCTTAGTTGCATTCCACGATTTTCCTTGTGGATTTTTCTTGTAGTTGCTTCTCTTCATGAATTTCCTAAATTTCTTGACAAAGAGAGCAAATTGATCATTAGGCAATAATTCAACATTTTGTACTGACCTTGAAGTTGATGGTTGCTCAGCTACGAGTGCGTTGTTATTCTCTTCATGATCTTCCTCTAATCTTGATTTCATCTCAAATTCATAAGCTTTTAGATCATTAAAGAGCTTATCGGTTGATAGGGTTTTTAGATCCCTATGATCTCTCATGGCCGTGACCTTCATGTCCCATGTAGATGGTAGACCACGTAGAATTTTGAGAGAAATTTCCTTTTGATTAATATCTTTTCCAAGATCATTAATCTCTCCTAAGATCTTAGCAAATCTTGTTTCCATGTCGGTAATACTCTCGCCGGTTTAGCATTTTGAAATCCTTGAATTTCTTTAATGCTATGGTGAGCTTATTATCCTTTTCTTGCTCGTCTCCTTCACCAATTTGAATGAACGTTTCCCAAACTTCCTTCGCGGATTGACATTTTCGAACTTTTGGAAATATCGTGTCATCGATAGATTTAAACAGAATATCCTTGGCAATATTGTCCAAGTTATTTCTTGTTCTATCTTCACGAGACCATTCCGCTTTTGGTTTTGGAATGTATTGTTGAGTGTCACTTGTTTGTACGGATGAAGTGTTGACTTGTAAAATCTCAATAGGACCACTCGTAACCACTTTCCACATTTCATCATGTAATGCGGATACATGTACCTGCATGCGAATTTTCCAATCATAAAATTTTTCTAATGAAAACAATAGATTTTGGGCAAGAGCCATATCTCTTTTCATCATCTTAATTTTTCGAGATCTGTCTAGCAGTCAAAGTTGACTCAAATAGACAACCGCTCTGATACCAATTGTTGGTCCCGATAGGGTGGTGAAAGTCTCGATGGGGGGGGGGGGGGTGGGGTAGACTTTCAAACTTTTTCACAATAAATAACTCTTTGGTAACTACAACTCTAAGTAACAAGTAAATAGAGTAAGTTTGAACTGCACAGCGGAATATGTAAAGAGTTATGCCCAATTAATAATTTGAACCACATGCACGTGTATGATAAGCTCAGATGAGGTGTGAGGATGACATGAATATCTTGAATATTTAAAGGAGATGGTTCACTCAATATTTAACAATAATATTCAAGACTATAAATAAGATATCGTATCACGTCCACCGTATGACGAACGTCACATGTAATACGTCAAACTTGCTTAGAATAATTCAAAGGTTAAGCTCGGAAAGTTTGAGTTACATGCATACGTGAAAACATGCTAAACCCGAAAGATTAAGATTAACGGTGAATAGTAAACGGGTTAGTCAGATGATAAATAAATAGAGCGAATTATGTAAGTGCGGTATGTAAATGAGAGAGGCAATTTATAGTGGTTCGGAAGTGGCGTAATCTTCCTAGTCCACTTTACTCCATTCACTTCTAGGAGTAATTCACTATTTTCCACACACAGTTACAATAGTGAATAAGTACTACACAAGCACTTCTTCCGGATGTCTTGCACACAGCTACACCCAACTCCGAGTGTCTCGCACACAGCTACACTCAACTCCGAGTGTTTTGCACACAGGATGAATATATTCAGCAAAAGCAAGATGGTTTGTTGCAACTTCAAGAACCAAATGAGGACATCCTGACACAGGCTCTTGAATCTAAGGAGCATGGAGGTCGGGTGAGGGCTATAGGGGGACATGTCAATCCCTCAACATATTTCAGAATGGGTAGAGGGATGATGCCTGCTCATGAGAAAAATGTTCTTCTAAGCAGACAAGCCAAAGTTGAAGACAGAGTAGCAAAGTTAGAAAATATGCTACTTCAAAATGTTGGCTGTAATATTCAGATTGAAGCAAAAGGCAGCTGTACTGCAAAGGAGGCAAAGGGTGCGAAGAAAAGTGAAGAAGAAATTGGTGATATTCAACATAAATTGGATTTTGAGGACGATGATGATGAGCTGCAATTTATTGACAAAGAAGATGTCTTGGAGGTAAATTTTACTTAGTATGTATATAATAAACATGCGTTTCTTAGTATATTTATTTATCTAGCTAATATGCGTATATTTTGCAAATTAGAAACCATCTAAGAAGAAAGCGGCCAAGGAAGTCAAAAAGCTTGAGTTGAACTCCTCAAGTATGCCTAAGTCATTATGGCTACTTTACTGTTATTACAAGCGTGCACTTGGGAATGGAGAGAGTTTACAAATATTGCTAGATAATAATGTCTTCGGGGAAGAATTTACTCTCTTTGTGCACGATGAAGATGTGACTCCTTTTTGTCAATTGATGCCAATATCGTACACGTGTATTGCTGTCTACATATGGTATGATTTAATATATATTTCGAGTCAATTTGATAACTTATCACTTCTATGCTTTGTTCTTCTAATTCAGTTTCCGTCCCAATGTTAGGTATTTGTATAACAAGATGATGGAAGAGAACAAGCTTGAGAAATTCATATTTATGCAGCCAAGTGTTGTAGGGCATCTGCCAACGAAAAGAACAGATACAAATTTTCTAGAAAATCAATTGGAAAAGAGGGCACGAGCTTTAGCAAATAGACTGCTGGACATTCCAAGTGATGCAACACTTTTGGTGCCATGTAATATAGGGTAAGAATGGTTACAATTTACTTTCAATTGCATATATTGTGTTGATGTAATATATAATTATGTGTTTGTGTGTACATAGCTTCCATTGGATTCTGACAGTTATCAGCATCACTAAGGACTTAGTTTATGTGTGGGACCCTCTTAATCATCGCATTCGCGATGATGATTGGAAGCGTGTTGTAGAAATGTAAGTTTTTATTTTTTATTTTTTTTATTTTCATTCTTTCGATTTATTATTACATAATCTGAATAATCAAATATATATATATATATATATATATATATATATATATATATATATATATATATATATATATATATATATATATATATATATATATATATATATATATATATATATATATGAAGGGCTATTAAAATGGTTCATGCATCCACTACGAATGCAAAGAAAGGACGCAGTAAAACTACTTGGGAAATTGTCAATGTAATTTCATATTTTTAACTATATAAGTGTTTGTATATAGCTAAATTGTAATGCAAATATTATTTAACATTTGTAGGCTCCTCGTCAACCGGATAGTAACCAATGCGGTTTCTTTGTCATGGCGTACATGAAAACTTTAATTGAGAATATGCCAGACTTCGATGATAAAAATTCTGTTCAAGCACTGGTATTACATTCCATTTCTACTCTCTCTTCCTTGTTTCTCGCTGTTATTTAATTGCAGAATGGTTCTAGGTTTTTAATGCTTTGTTAGCTTGGGTTTAAGCCTCTCTCTTTTTCACTTGATTTGGACAGTTATTGATGATAAATTTGATTTTTATTTTTTATTTTTTAGAATAAGTTTGTTGCTCTGAAATTTGGGTGTAGAATGCGTGTGAAAGCTCGAAATTTTGGGCATTTTAGTGCTTGATGTATTGCTTTTTCAAGTGTCTTTCTTTACTTGTTGGCTACACTTGTTATGATTCTCTTTAGGGAACTCATTATCTTGTTATGAACAGCTTGAGTATGAATGTGGTGAGAGTAAGAGGGCAGTTTCATTTCATTGCAAATTATTTATATCTATACTAATTTATTTTCTTACTTTTTACATGTAGTTTCAACAAGTTGATTATGACAAAGAGGTTATTGATCTGGTGCGATCTGAATGGGCCGATATTCTATCAAGTCATATAGAGTAGGTATGATTTGATCATTCGAACGTTGTGATCATCTAGACTTGAATTGGTTCGGGAAATTGTTTTTTGTGTAGTAGTGTTATGACTTGAATGATAATTAGAATTGGTCATGGAAGTCTTTTGACTTGTTATTTTGAACCTTATTAGCTTGTGCACAATTATGTAACTACACTTTGCAACATATGGTGAATGGATAAATTATTTTTTTATACGATTATAATTTAAGCAGGTGAAAAACGGTTAAAAACCGTTGTCTATTTTACAATAGACAACAGTTAGAAACCGTTGACTTTTCTACAAAAGACAACAGTTTATGGGTGTTTCAACAACACCCAATAGACAACGGTTTATAACTGTTGTCTTTTAAAGAAAAGACAACAGTTAAAAATCGTTGTCTATGTACGTGACTTTTAACAACACTGGTTTCAACAACGGTTAAAAAACCGTTGTCGTTGGTAGAAAAGACAACGGTTAATAATCGTTGTCTATTGCGTGACTTTTAACAACACCGGTTTCAACAACACTAAATAGACAACGGTTAAAAAATCGTTGTCGTTGGTAGAAAAGACAACGGTTAATAACCGTTGTCTATTGTGTGACTTTTAACAACACCGGTTTCAACAACACTTAATAGACAACGGTTAAAAAACCGTTGTCGTTGGTAGAAAAAACAACGGTTAATAACCGTTGTCTATTGCGTGACTTTTAACAACACCGGTTTCAACAACACTTAATAGACAACGGTTAAAAAACCATTGTCGTTGGTAGAAAAGACAACGGTTAATAACCGTTGTCTATTGCGTGACTTTTAACAACACCGGTTTCAACAACACTAAATAGACAACGGTTAAAAAACTGTTGTCGTTGGTAGAAAAGACAACGGTTAATAACCGTTGTCTATTTTGTGACTTTTAACAACACCGGTTTCAACAACACTTAATAGACAACGGTTAAAAAACCGTTGTCGTTGGTAGAAAAGACAACGGTTAATAACCGTTGTCTATTGTGTGACTTTTAACAACACCAGTTTCAACAACACTTAATAGACAACGGTTAAAAAACCGTTGTCGTTGGTAGAAAAGACAACGGTTAATAACCGTTGTCTATTGCGTGACTTTTAACAACACCGGTTTCAACAACACTTAATAGACAACGGTTAAAAAACCGTTGTCGTTGGTAGAAAAGACAACGGTTAAAAAACCGTTGTCTATGAGCAGGACCTACAACAACACCGGCTTCAACAACAGAAAGTATACCCCTACGACAACGGTTAATAACCGTTGTCTATGTGCATTTTTCTTGTAGTGACAGCTACACTTAGCAATCACGAGTGTTTTGCACACAGCTACACTCACTAGAGTATTTTGCACACAGCTATACTCTTCTAACAATTGCAAATACAAAGGTAATTGTATCTCTCTCCAACTATTTTTGAGACTATTCAGACTAAGTCTCTAAAGAATATTTGAGCACTTGCACTTGTTTATCTCGTGTGTATTCACGTTTTCTTTTTTGTATTCACCTCTATTCTTTCTTCAAGTCTTCATGGCATTTTTATAGATAACCAAATATATCCGTTGGCGTGGGATAATTTGATATTTGAAATTTGAATCTTCATAGCCTGATATTGTTGACAATGGTAGGTCTTCAATATGATTTGATTGTCAACTTGCCTGACAAGATAATATTTTATTTCAACTTGATTTTCAAGTTGTTTCTAAAATATTATTTTCTTTGTCTACTTTGAAGTTCCAACGTCTCTTTTGCAATAAGTTCTTCTGATAGAATTTATTTCTAGGATAAGATCTTTTATCCATGCCTTCATAAATTCTTCACCGTTCTGATCATATCTTTAGGCAATTTGGATTCTTGTGACATGTGAGATGTACCAATATAAATTCTTCTCGAATTTATATAATTTTTCTGATCTTTCTTCTTTGTCACATCTCGCTTGTTTGACTTGGCACTTCTTGCTTCTTTGACTTGAACATTGTGCTTTTCTTATTTTGAGGATTGTGCTCTTTTCGCATCTCGCTTCTTTGACTTTGGCACATTGTGCTTGTTTGACTTGAGAGATTGTGCTTCTTCTTGAAACATTGTGCTCCTTCTTTGAAATCCGGCTTATAAAAAATAAATCCTTAGGGGGGGGGATCAATCTCGGGTGTGATCTTTGTATGTAAGGACTTCTACCATTTCGCCGTTAGGCTCATCCGGTCTTTCTTTAGTACTTCAGTTCCAAATGAATACTTGTAGGACCAAAATTAATTCTCCCAATTAATTTTGTTCTTCATGTAGTAGACTTTCCTTTGCATACTGACTTGATATTCTGAATTATGATGCTTGTACTAAAGACCTAAAATCTAAGGGGATCTAAAATACATTTGGCTCATCAAAAATTTATTACAAAAATATTCCTATCACACTGGACCACAACAAACGCCGTGTAATTGGTCACTGTCAGCTGCTAAATTGAATGGTACAACTAACCAATGAAAGATCAAAAAGGTGCCTACTACACATACCTGCCAAAATATTTTCACTGAAGGAGGAATGGACAGGGTGTGCGGTAGTGATTTAATTGCTGCTCTGGTCACACGTAAGATCCGTGATGACCCACATTACAAAGTGAAACACATCCAAACCGATGTAAAAAATGAGTACGGATTAGATGTGAGTTACAGGAAAGCGTGGTATGCTCGGTAAAAATGCATTGAGACTAAGTACGGCAAATTTGCTGACTCGTACAATGAGCTACCCAGTTTTCTCATGTCTTTGAAGGCAACAAATCCCGGCACCATAATTGAATTTGAATTCACACCATGCCCTCCATCTCCGAGTGGCGACAGCGCGTACGTTCATTTCAAGTATGCATTTTGGGCTTTTAAGCCAGGGATAGACGGCTTCTAGTATTGCTTCCTAGTTATTTGTGTGGATGGTACACACCTCTATGGCAAATACAAGGCCAACCTCCTATTATCGGTCGGGACGAACGCTAATAATGAAATCTTTCCACTAGCCTATTCCATTGTTGACGTTGAAACCGCAGCCAACTGGAGTTGGTTTTTGGAACTACTGGTATCACATATCTTTCCTCATCACGAGTCCATGTGCATCGTTTCGGATCGGCATCCTGCGTTCGACGCGGCGTTTAGGGATTTGAGTGTCTTACAACCTCCACGTGTACAACGCCGCTTTTGTCTTAGACACGTTCGTAGTAATGTGATGACCAAGTCGTCGAGGAACCCTGATTTGAGATCTTTAATATGGGAAGCTGGAACTGCAGCCACACATTGGGAGTTTCGGAGCACGATGGATAGAATCAGGGCGACTTGGCCAGCATCATACAATTACCTACAAGCAATCGACGTGGAAAAGTGGACATTGTCGCACGATGGTGGGCATCGGTATGGGGTAATGACAACCAATGGATCAGAACCGTTCAACAATTTGTTGAAGGGTTGTCGTATGCTGCCAGTGACTGCACTAGCAAGGCTGACATTTCACAAGATAAGGATAATGTTTGCGGACAGGCGAATAGCAGGTCAGCGGATGCAGGAGAAAGGGTTGCGTTGGCCGAACAAAATTAATAAGCAGTTGACGAAACTAGAGACAATCGCATACAATGCCACCATAGAGAGATATAATGACTCCATGGGATTGTACGGGGTCGCTCTACAAAGCCGACACGCAACGCAACGTCAACCACGGTTTTTTAGAGTATGTTTGGCAGAACCTTCCTACGAATGTGGCCATTGGAACCACAACACCCTACCATGTGCACATATCATTGTTGCCTGTCAATTTCAAAGGGCTACCTACGACTCATTCGTGCCAAATGTTTACTCATTAGAGCACTACATAATGAGTTATGCAGGTAATTTTTATCCACCTACCTATGAAATTGAAAGGAGTAGTGATCTTACAATACTTCCACTAGTATCTGCTAGGCGAGATTTGCTTCCTGGTCAAACACAAACTCGTCGGCACCCAATGGAAATAGACCATGGACATACAAGATCCACATGACGATTTCTGTATTGTCGCGCTAGATCACATTCTTCAAACCAATGCCCAAGGTTTATTTCATGGTCGTAGTGACATTTACAAATTACACTCCTTGTACACAGACCTTAAATGAAAATGCAAATGGCTTCTACTTTCTATGTTAACATTTTTTTACATAAAAATTTATGTTTACAAGTTTCACATTTCCGTTTAAGTACAACGAGAGCCAAATGTTCATAATTTTACAATGAAGTACATTCTTCCACATATTTTTGCTTGCAATATACGATGTCTCAAATAAAGAACAACTTGAAAATTGAAAAAAATATAAATAAAAAATAAACGAAATTCGAATATTTACATAATATGGCATAGGCGTGATTCGAACTGACAAATTCGAATAACGTCTATGCAATTCGAATAACGCGTATGGCATAGGCGTTATTCGAATTTGTCAGTTCGAATCACGCCTATGCCATACACGGAATAAGAATAATACTTATATCCCCTCCATCCTTTTTTTAGAAGCACACCTACTAATTCATTTTGCTCCCACTCCAGCACAAATCATTTTGCTCCAAACTCGTAATCCATTTTCAAACACTTTGCCAATTTACAAGTTTCTCTTCCATCATCATGGATATTTTTGTAGAATTTTCAAAGGTTTCATGCGTCAACCAACAACGTTATAATATGAAACGTTATTTCGCAACTACAATCAATGGAAGGAAATTATTGTATGCAATTATACAGCATACATCGGAAGATCAATATATATGTTTTGCACCTCCTTCATGGGTCAAATATATGAAAATGCTAGGAATAAACGTGTCCGATCCAATTGCATTTCATAATTTCCAAGATGCAGAGCGTTTTACCTATGACATCCTACAACATGGCTTACGAACACTAATCCTTCCCTCACGTAAGTCATTTCATATTTCAAATTTATAATGTGTAATTATAACTATTTTTTTCTTTGCTTTCGTGTAGCTTGTAGTGATCAAAAATATTTGCCGGATATTACGAGATCTACTATTGTGTGGTTTTTTATTACAATTAGGTCGTGTGTGACCATGGTAAATTAATCAATTTTAATTTGAACTTTTTTTCTTTTCGTTTCTATTCCAATTTGTTT